GATACAGAGACTCAGAATATACATCACTATCCGTCATCGTAAGGGATCATCACACGGAAACGCCGACGCCCTGTCTAGAAGACCTTGCCAGGTGACAGGTGACGGAGGACGGGGACGCCTGGTGTTTAACATAGGTAAACAGGCGTGTGTCCCACGCCCTCCCCTATCTAGGAATAACAACTCCCTAGGGCCCCGTGAGGCTGCCTCGGGAGTTTATAATACAGATCTAAAGATCAATACATGGCCAAACAGGGCCTGAGGATTATTGTTTGACAATGGTTGCTTGACAATAACTTTGTGGGTGTGCATGGATGTTGGAATAACACAGATACATAAAAAAAATATACAAAACAAATACAAGAATAGATACATATACAGGCAAAAACAAACAAATTCTAACAGATACGAACATAAAGGATGCATTGATATTAAGATAAATATGAAGAGAGACACATATGTAAGATACAAGAGTAAAAACAAGAGTAATAAATACTTATAAAGTCATATGTGTATTGCTGGTATCCTTGGGGTTGCAAATGTGCTGTGAGCACTTAAACACAGAGATGAAGCTATTAGTACCGGATGTCGAGTTATGGTGCCAGGAGTTAGTGTTAGAGTTCGCTGAAAGTACAGTCTGCACTATAGTTCAAATTTGCAAGAGTTCAGGCTACACTAAAGTTTAGTGTACACTGTGGTACTAATAGCACTAAATTTGGAGTTTGGCACAGTCACTAAGTTTTAATGCAATTGCTATAGGTTGGTACAGTCACTACAGCGCAGACACTATGTTAGGCACAGTAATTTCAGTACACAGTCACAATGGTTGCACAGTTACTATGACTGTGAACAAGTACGGTGTAGGTACTGATCTTCACTGATGTGTGCACTAGTGCTTAGGCATAGTCGGAGTTGGTGCATGATGTATACGTGCGGTGCAATTATTACGTGCAACCATTCATTGCAATAGGTTGGAAGGTGATGTAGGCATTCGAAGGCACTTTGAGTTGACACAGTTGGTACTCTGCTAGCACACCGGTAAGGTAAGTTCTAAAGAAGATTGACGTGTGCACATAAAGTTGAAGGCTTGGTGGTGGGGAGCTTTTGTTTAACAACTTGTGGGGGTGGCCCCTGAGTGAAAAGCTTTTGAAAAGGTTGGATAGTCGGTAGGGGGGACGAAAAGATGATCGTGTTTAATCTGGTCTATTGCGGTGAGCAGATATCTTGGCCCATTGCCCCGATTTGAGTGATAGCTTTGCAGATTTTGGTTATGGCTGGCTTGTGAGTGATGATAAAGCGGTGGTACGCATCTCTGTTCATGGTTGGACATGGGAGGTGATGGTCTTTTGTCAGCTGGCAGGTGAAAAGATAGTGGTCTGGGTTGCCTGGGGCTCCACAGACGCATATATCTGTTGATGAGATGTTGTGCCTTTGGAAGTAGCTGGGGAATGGGCCGTGTCCCGTGATATATCGTGTCAGCGGAGCGATTGCGATGTGTCGATCCGTGCTGACTTTGGGGAAGAAATCGTAGGTGCGGCGGCCAGTTGTGCTATGGCTTCCATTGCCTCTGCTGCCATTGTTGTGAGCCTGCTTCACTCTGCTTGAAGGGCTGTTCCTTTAGGTGGGAAGGTGGGGCTTGAAGGTGGATCTGCTGTGCATTTGAGTCGGTTACCTTGTGAAGGTACTTGCATTCCAGTGTTGGTAGGGGTGCGTGGAATGATGACAGAAATTCCTTTGCCTTTAATTGCCGGGTGTGTGTGGAGAGGGTGTCCAGGTGTTTCAAACTGGACTGGGCTGTAGGTGCTATTGTAGAATGTGACGTCTTTTCTCAAGTATACTAGAGTTGTATATGCCGCTTCCATTTCTACTTTGATGTGGAGAGGCAGCAACCCTGCAAGGACAGTCACCGCACTTGTTGCAGTTGTGCGAAAGGCTTTCGTGAGGTTGAGGGCGAAAGGGCGTTGGACGGTAGTCAGTAATTTGATTTTACGAGCGCCCATTGGGTGGGCCCAGGCAGCGGCAGCGTACGTGGCGATCTTCTCTGCCACAGTGTGATATAGGATCTTCTGTATATGATGGTTCTGCCCCCAATTTTGCCCTTGAAAGAAAGGTGCGTGCCTTCCTTGCAATGGTGATAGTCTTCTTTCTGATGTCTTGAATGTGCGGGAGCCACGTGAGTCCTTGATCCCAGAGAAGGCCTAGATGTTTAAGAGTTGAGACTATCTTGATGTTTTGATTGTGCAATTTGATACAAGGGACGGCGTGATGGATTTGTACCTGCCCTAGGGATGACAAGGGCCATGGATTTCTCAGTGGAAATTTTGAGTTTTAATGCAGTGCACATGTTTTCGAATATGGTACATGTTGCAGTCCCATTTCTTTCTAATTCCTTCCGTGTGCGTCCCTTGACCAGCAGAGCGACGTCGTCTGCGTAAGCAACAACTGTAGTATGCTGTGGCCAGTCAGCTTCCAGCACAGAATTGAAAGTTAGGTTCCAGAGAACCGGTCCGGCGCAGGAGCCCTGGGGGCATCCTCGCTCCTGGCTTTTGGTGGTTGTGCCGTTGTCGTTGGAAATTAAAAAGCTTCGGTTCTCCAAATAGCTATTAAAGGTGTTAAAGATATTTGCTGGGCAGCGTGCGGTTCTGAGGGCTTTTTTTTATAGCAGGCCACTAGAGGGTGTCGAACGCGCTCTGCAGGTCGATGGAGATGAAGGCCGTATGATATCCCGTAGCTCTGTTGCGTTGTATAGTGTCCCGGATAGTACAGAGAGCATGTGTGGTGGAGAGACGTGGTCGGAAACCGAACTGTCTTGAGCTGAGGAAATTGGTCACGTGCAGGTGATAGGACAGCCGTTGGACAAGTAGTTTTTCATAAATCTTACCCATTGCGGATAAAAGGCAGATGGGTCGATAAGAGCGCAAATCTTGTGCGCTTTTATTTTTCTTTAAGAAGAGAACTACTTGTCCTTGTTTGAAGGCCTGTGGAAAAATTTGTAGATGAAGAAGTCTATTGAAGAAGGTGCTGAAGAATGATGGACATGCATTGTAGGCCACCTTGATGATAGCATAGTCGAGGCCGTCTGGGCCTGGTGCCTTTTTGCGCGGGAGGAGTTTGAAGACGTGTCTAATCTCACTGCTACTGAAGGGAATATCATACGAGGTGGTGGGAGTGCTTGCATTTTCGCGGATGATACGCTGTGAGGGCGTGTCCTCCTCTGGGTTGTCATCAGGGAATATAGTGCTCAGGATTTTGCTGGCAGTGTGTTCCACTATGTTGGTATTATCGGCCAGTGCTGGAGTCTGGATATGGATCTGTGCCGGGCGAAAGACTTTGCCGGTGGTAAGTTTGTGCAGGATGCCATATGGGTTATTATTAGCTGTACAATAGTTCCTCCAACTAGTAATTTTGGCTGTTAGAATATTATTTTTGTAAAGGGCTCTCTCTCTTTCCTGTATGCCAGCAAAATTTGTTGTCTGATGCTGTTGTCTGCAGTGCGGATGCGACGTCGTCTAAGGGCTCTGCATTTTTGTCGCTGTGTGCGAAGCTCCTTGGTCCACCAAGAGACTCCTTGTAGTTTCGTCGTCGCGGACCGGGTGGGCAGAATGTTGTGGCATATGTCTTTCAGTGTCGCCAGGAGTTGATTGGTGAATAATTCCATGTCGGCTGGACTGTTAATGCTGTGAAGTTTTCTTTTCTTTCTTCGTTATGTAAGATGGTGGAGAAGGAGGAGGTGAGGTGCCGGATCTTATTGCCTGGGAGCTTAAACCTGGTAATAACAGAAATGGTGGTGTCGCAGCTGATGGAGAAATGTATGTACTTGTGGTCTGAGTTACTCTCTCTCTTCTTCATTTACTGTCCAATCTTGAATTTTACGTGCGATGTTGTGCGTGCAGAGAGTAAGGTCTGGCCAGCCAGTATTGTAGGAGTTATCGTAAGTGGGTGGAGCGTCTGGAGTGTTGAGGAGGTGGAGGTCATGACAAGCCACAAAGTCTTCCAATTCTTGGCCCTTTGTGCTAGTATCCGCGTAGCCCCATATGCTGTTATGGGCATTAAAGTCACCGCCTACAAGAATCGGAGTTGAGGGATATCGTTGCATGACATCAAGGACGTTGGTGGTGAGATTCATAATATCTTCAGAAGGTGGTGAGTAAACAGAGATGAGGATGAGATGAAAGTTTTGAAGGGCTAGTAGTATGGCAACTATGTCGCGTTCTTGTTTAATAACTATGGGGGACCAGGAGGGATTGCAAGCATGCAATGGCTGCTCTTGGGGCTTGATTTTGGGGAACGGATTTCTGTTGAAAGAGTGTCCAGCCAATTGGAAGACCTGCAACTTCCCCTTCTCTGGTGTAGGGTTCTTGAAGTAGAAGTACGTCGGCATCATGCGTAATTGCGTGCTGGATAAGCTGTGAAGTTGCGGCTCGTGCTCTTTGACCTGAAAACTGCGATTTGAAGGTGAACGAATACAGCTGCTCCGGGCAACATTAACATGTGGTTCGAACGTGGAGTGGAGAAGTCAGAGTGATTTTAATGCCATTCAAAAGCTAAGAAGATTCGGCAATGATGACGTTTGTGCTTTCAAAAAAAGATGGAAGGGGCCGTCAACTCCGTTAAGGAAGAAATCAAATTGGGCCAAGAATCCGTTAAGGACGAAATGAAAGCCGTTCAAGCTGGTCAAGAAGAAATGAAAATTCGTAACAATATTATTTGATCCAATATTAATAAATTCACTTCTGCGAGAATTTAAATTTGTTTATATTTTGAATTCATATGTAATGTATTCCAGCTGATTTCGAATTCATGTTCTTTGGTATTTTGATTTTATCGCGCAACTTTGCTGCAGAAATATAATCGGTATGAATTTAAATAGCTATACCTCTTCTATGTAATATAAGGATTTATTTAAAAAAATTAAATGAAATTGGTAAATAAAGGACTTTAAATGGATATCATATAAAAGTACCCAGATTCAAAATCATTTCATATGTTTTCACTAATTTTACCTTCAACTAAGAGTTCCATGTCGACTCGGTCTTCTCCCATGGAATTGCTTACATGGCATGAATATCGTCCGGCATCTGTACGGAGGACCTTGTTGAATATCAGAACACCTCCTTCTTGCCTTACGGAAGAGCCCACGTCAGACAGTATCCGCTGCCCTCCGATAGTCCTGTGCCATCGGTACATGGGAACAGGATAACCCTGGGCTATGCAAGAGAGCGTCATGCGATGCCCAAGGCTGGCGGTTACTCGACTGGATCGGTGGACGATACGAGGTGGCTGATTGTGATGGGGTTCTGTAAAGTAAATGTCAGTAGTGTTACTGAAATATATTCAAGAATGATTAAATTCATTTCACAGTGCTTTTGGCATAAATGAAATTTTGCATTACAGTTCTAATAACTTTGGCATTACAGTTCTAAGTAAATGCAGTATTTTGAGGTTAAAATTCCTTAACTCTGTGTCATAATTATGGAAAGTAAGTATTAAAAGTGGATTATCAAAAACAGAATGAATATGTTTTCATTTTAAAAATAAAACCATACTATTTCAATTATTGGAATTATTAAGTAGGTGAAAAATACTTCAGTCAGTATTTAAAAAAATAATAAATGAAAAGCATTTTCATTGGAAACTGGTCACTTGTAACATAACATTGTTGAGTAATTAATTCAATTCTAATTAATCAGGAAACATTTATTTATCTTTACGTTCAAATTTTTTAAAATTTTTTATACTTTAAAATTTATATGGTTAGTACCAAGTTAAACGACTGTTAAAGGTAAAAAGTCTTTGTAAGCTATTGGATATATATTCGACTTACTAGAAGTAAGAAGATTATTAAAAAATTAGATCAGATCACTACAGGCTCTTAATTAGAATACTTATCCCTTCAGTAATTAAAACGTTCAATAAATAATTTACAAACTGGAGTAGAGACATTATAATGTACCCAATATTGACATCTTATTTAAACTGGACACAGAGTGGTTAAAAAATTCCTCCTTATTAAATGTGTGGAAAGATTGTGGACCTCAACCAATAAGATGTAAAGAAAAGGGAGTAAAGTTTGCTGTAGCACGTGAATAATCTAAAGGTGTAAATGTTAGGCTGTTCAAACAGATTTCCATTAATTTTCAAATGATTTTCTTATTTTAGAATATTTAATTAGATAAATTAAAAATGTAAACAGATGCTTGTAAAGTGATATTTTGAAGGAAAAAAATACTAATGCAGACATGATAACTTTCCAGAGTGAAGCAGGAACTTCGACTATACTCCCGCCAACTCAATTTAACAAGGGTTTCTCCCGAATTTCTCTTATTCCTAAAATTTCTCTTGACTCTTACTAGTTCGGCTTAATGTTTCGTTATTTTCATTGAAAATCGCGGTATTTGATATCTAAGGCACTTCCTTTACCTGTGGATTAACTGCTTTTTTATTAAGGAAAACATTTGACCAGCCGCTACAGCTCCGCATGTGAAAACACATGGCTAAAAACATTATGATACAGTTTAACAAAGGCCTTCAAGCGTACTTTCAGGTCATCTGCACAAATTATCCAGTGAGTGCAAAATAAGTTCGAAGCACTTTTCCGCGTGTTAAAAAATTTTATTACTTTTGCTATATGTAAATTTTGTCTTTTTTGTCATTGGGATTATCGGTGGCACATGAAGAAAGGTCAGTGTACTTAATAAGTGGATAAATAAGAAAATAAAATAGAAAAATAAAAAAAAAATTGAGAGGAACGCAAATTATATTGAAGGAAACGAAAAATTATAATGAAACAAGTGAAAAGTTATAAATGCAGAATGATTATATTCTTTTTATTTGAATTAAAGAAATTTCTTTTTTTTTTCTACGGATGAAAACAATAATGCCGATGAAAAATTGTACACAGTTCTTTTAATTCTGTGGTATCATAAACTGAGTGTATATACCCACGTTTTATTTGTATTGGAAAGAGATTCTATCAGTTTTGTTATTAAACTAAGGAATAAATTTAGACCCTGCATTAATTGCAATATATTGAAAACATTTTAATAGAAATAACAGCCTATGGGGAATTTCGGCGAGCGAAGTTATGATGCTTCTTAAAGAAAGGAAAATCTGATACTGTTATGCAAAAAAGGGGTAACCTATTATTTTCTATAATACGTTTCAAGAAGTAAAAATGTTTTTTTCAAAATATGAGTATTCTTAGACTAGCCGCATTTAAAATTAGTTATTGAGTTATTGTAGTTTCAGATATTAATTGGATACTATTTATAGCTTGTTTTAAAAAATTCTTTTCATATATTTTTAATGTTCAAAATTGTTTTGTTGCAGAAAAAAGTTTTCCTGAGTTCTTTATTTCTTTTTTTTTTCCTCTAAATTACTATACATTGCAAAATAAACCTCGAAACTCTAAAATGTTAATTATGTACTTCATTTATTAAATTTTATTGTACCATATTAATAAATGCAGACATAAAATGTTATCTTACATTTGTTTCTCATTAAACGCAAATTCTAAATTTTGCTTTTATTAAAAACTTAGGTAAAGATTTTACTTTCTTAATACTATTCATGGTTTGAGAGTTTCATAATTAGTAAGATTTGAGAATATTATAATGTCTGAATTCGAATACTGAATTCGTTTCATCTTTAAATATTATTGTCTAAATATCAGTTCCTTATATTCTCTTATGAATATTTTCTCCTGTAATAAATCAACTGTCACTTCTCATGCTATTCTTAAAGATCTTATTAATAAAGATGTTGATGTCATCTTTTCACATATACATGGCCACAACTGTCTGTCTAGGAATTGAAAGAGCTAATTGGTTAGCAAAATAATCTGCAAATCTTCAAATTAACACTCCACTGACACTGCCTAAATCATTCTTCGAGAAACAATGTTAGAATAACACAATTCTGAAATGGAATGAATTATACAAAAATTCTTCTATCGTTTATCTGATTAAATTATTTTCCCACTGGCTAAATAATGAAAACTTTTTTAAGATTACTAAATTTCTAACTGAGGATGGTAATTTCAACTCATATCTGAAGATATTTAGGCTTGTGTCTCTGTAGCTTCGGAAGCGTGCGAAACGTTGAACATTTGTTGTTCAACTGTTCAGAGCTTGCGGAAGGAAGAAAACTCATTTATCAGTTTAACACTTTAAACGCTAAGTTTCCTCTCTCTCCTTATGAGGCCCAGCAGCGACCGTGGGGCAAAATTGCTGAAAACTGGTAGTTCGGTCCGGGGCTAGAATCAAGGGGAAAGGGCTCCCTGCATGAGCGTTTTCGAAACCAGACATCGTAGTTTTCCCCCATGTGAACATGTATACAAGCCGTTTTCCTTTGAAACTCCTCTACGAAAGCATCCCTCCCCTTTGCTAGATAGCTCTCAAGTTCTTTGCCATAAATTATCCATAACTCGATGAGGAAAAGCACTCTAAATTTAGAATATTATTTCTTTTTATTTTAGTTGAAGATCTCAAAATTCAAATTAATTTTGACTAAAATATTCAAAATTCAAAGAAAAGTTTAAAGCAAAATTTTAATAATACCATGTTTTGTTAAAATACTCTTTTAAGTTCTTGAATTTAATAACAAATGTGTTCAGACATCCAAAAACACGTCGCAGTATTAAAAATATAAATATGTTTTTCATTACATTATGCATTAGATTATTTAAACCTAGCTAGCAATTTGCTTTTTATTTCATTGTTAAAATATCATTATAAAATCATACATTATGATAACTGGAATAATATAAAATTTTATTTTGCAATTTTTGATTAATATGCAAACAATTTCAATAAAGATTACTTTCCGATATGTAAACGGTTTTAAAGTCAAAGAAAACAGGCAAAATACATTTAACATCGAATACATGCATGACATTTTCTTCGAAGTATGCTGCTATTTTGCAGTATACTACTAACATTTATTGTTGTTTAATAATACATAAATTTTGTAGAAAAGCCAAATTCTTCAGTCTTTAATAGAACTTTATTTCTAAAAGTAAAACAAGCCGACATTAAGTACTGAGAGTAAAAGTAAAACTTAGATGAAGAAAGCTTCAGACAAGGAAGATTACTTTACCATTCATAGGCATTGCTTGAGGAAAGTAAGATAAGTATTCCAAAGAGGAACTCGTTTTTTTTTCATAAAATCGATATATCACTTCATTTTAGCCGAAGGTGCAAATTTGTAACCAGACATCGGAAACCACACACACACACATACGCACACGCGAAGTAAAATGAGAAAAAAAGACTTCCTGTTTATGCGAATATTTTGAAGAGTTTCACTGAGTTATTGAGCGATTATGTAAATCATTTTTTTATATTCTTTGAGTAGAGAGAAAGGTCTTTTGCGCTTTAACAAAATAGTAATAATTTAAATAATAACATTTTATTCAAAATGCAGTTATTGAAACTGGAAATGAGAATTAATATTAAGAAAATGCGAATGAGTGTTGAGAAGCGATAACAAAATTCTCTATGCATTAAGTAAAATTTCCGTACTTCAAAAATAAAGCTAATGTATAACAAAATCTACATTTTAGTTTATGGCATATTTTCATTTGCAAATCTAATTAGAAAACTGAATGCAAAAATTACACAATTCGAAATATATAGGATTTGCATGTGAATAAATGTTTAGAATTCTTTAGATTAAATAAACGGCTATCGCTTTTCACTTCAATGTTTATAATTTAAAATTTCTTAAGGTGATGTACATGAAAACTTTTAACTATCCCCCATCTCCAAATTTATCAAACTAAAAATTTCCAAAGCTAGACTTGATTAGTATGGAAGATTTAATTAATTTTGGAATGGGATTTCTAAAAGGGTTTGATAAATAAAACGTTATGTTTATGCTTGTTATAAGTTTTAGAAGTCTTGGAAAAGCACTTTGTGGCAGTTACATTTCAGTGCATATAAATATAAGCATGCTTCGTAAGGACTATAAATTATTATAATGTTAGAAACAAAAATGCTTCAGCTAATAAAGTTATAAATTTAATTTTAAATTTTTTGCTCTGGCGAGAAGTCTTTAAAATTACGTATGAAAAAAAAATGAAGTTAAAAAAATTTAACAGCTTATTGATATTCAGGAGATTTCGTGTATCGTATAATTTAATGGTACTTACGTATTACTCCGTCGACCATGAAACTGTTTCCAAGCAGCGCGACTGAGCTCCAGTTATAGCTTAGCGTGACGCAACAACGCACTCATAACCTCTGCGTTTTTTTTAATGTAATCGCTATTGATTTTAGGTAAGTAAAGTTTAGCTTTT